TCTCCCTTTACCCTCCCTGTTTCGCCACTCACACCACTGGTCCTGTAGGGCTCATCCGCCCTGGATTCCCTGTATTTTCAGTTCCTATCTGTACCAGTGTCCATCTCTGGTCTGGAAGATTAAGATTCTCAAATGCTTTCATAAAGCTTCTGACTGTCATCATATTCTTCTGAATGTCTGCCAAGATATATTAGTTTAGACTCATTATATTTCCACAGGGAAAGGACCAAATGTATATAACTCTTTACATTCATATGCAAAGAATTATTTACATCACTTTTTACGATGAGAAAGGGAAAATATGTTTCAATCAAATTGTATATGGAATATTTTCCAGGACAATTGTGGCAATATAAGAGATGAAGGTGGACAACTAGCTAAATAATCATGTTTATCTTATGTTTGCTTTAACCAAAAGCAAAGCACACCCACTATCATTGGATTGATCCTGACTCCTATTATTTCTACCTACGGTTTCCAAGGAGAGAGAGTTCTTTTTTCCTATCTGTGCTTCAACCCCTTCAGGAGAAGACAGTCTCGTCTTTTTTTCTCTGAAGTGCTTGATGGTTTGAAACCACGGATCTTCTGCTTAGCAGCTTAGTTCCTAGCCCAGACCACTGCCAATCATGTTTATATTAAAGAATCATTTCCAGTTGTGCACAATATTTTGTTAAAAGCGTACAAAGTAGGACCCATACCCAAACTATCTACATCATTCCAAAGAATTCTCTTAAGTCTTTTTAGCTATAAAGAGGCTGTTTGTCTCTGGACAAGAAAATTCAGGGAACACGTGAATCCCCTGCTGCCAGCAAGAAGGTATCTACTGAGGGCAGGAAAGAGGTGCCACTTTGAAGGGGTGGGCATTATAAAATGATATAGTCAAACTACTAATTTAAAAAGTAAGAGCTTTCTAGTGAGGTGGGCATCGACAAAACAAAGGCACCCGTTGTCCTTTTCCTTTCAGATGGAATATTCTCTCACCTGCAGTTTTCTCCAGTTGACCACATAAGAATGCCCCAGTAGCCCTATATGCATGTGACTGTGACGCATCTGGTGAAGCCCAAAGCAAACGAAGACGCATCCACAGAGGGACCATACCTTGCTATTTACATATTGCTCTTTGTGCCCACTCTTGCACCATCAGCGATCATCGGTAGCCCAGTGACTTGTGAAGGCACAGCATCAAAGGGCAGAAAGTGAGTGTGCAGGTTTTAAGTATTATCTCAAAACCACAAGAACCAAAAACCCACTTCTGGAGACCTGCACTGGACCCACCACTAAACAAACAGCTTACAGCAAATGAATAAAGTGCCCTCACACCGCCTTGTAATAGTTCCCTTGATGATCCCAGAACGAAAAATAGAATGGCATGTTTCAAATCATTTTTTACTTGATAGTTTTCAAATATCAATGTTTATGTCAATACTCAAATTCAAAGGTAACTTTTATAAATTTCACTTGTTTTATTCCAATTTATGTGCTATAGCAGAACCAAATTTTGAAAGTCACACAATTATATATCCAGGTTAAGTTAAATGGCAACAAGTAAGTGGAGAGAAAAACAAAAAATTTTCATAAGATAATAAGAAAAGAATTTGAAATCCCTCCAGATAATTCCAAAATTTACTTCCTCTTAAAACATAGTGAATCAGAAGACTTGTTTCATTGAATGCTTGATTTTAATGGGTGCAAATCATTGTATACTAGTACTGCTAGTACTGAAATGACTAATAGTGATACAATTTAACAGGACTTATTCCAAATTCTGCATCTATCCTTGCTATAGTTTAAAAATTAATAATAATATGGGAAGTGAAGCTATTGTATTCTGAGATGATTGCCTTTACAGACTCCAAAAATAACAGAAATACAGATACTGCTTTGTGGAATTATTTTTCTTCTAAGGATATAAATTATGGGCTTGAAAGAGGGCCAAGTGTTTGTCAACATCAAAATGGACCATTTGAAAATTTGTGTGGAAAATTTCTAAATGGTGACGGACAAGGTTATGAAGCTAGAATCTATTTCTAAGTTTCACTAAATTAATTGCGAAAACTATACAGAGTGGCTACTGTGCTCTCTATAAGTGTGCTCTGTATATGATTTTCTTTGCAAACTAGTCAGGCCTAATTAATTTAATTATCAATTGTATTAGCAATGAGTGCACCTTAAATGTAGTTGATAAACATGAACATTTTTAAATTTACAGAGATTTTAATGCTTGTTACATTTAAATCATAGCTCTGGTTTTGTTTTAACTCAAACTGGAAACAAACACACATTGAGGAATGCCATCAGTACTGAAAATCCATTTCACACTGTGTTGTTGCTGTCATTATGAGAAGTACTGAACATGGACTATATTTCAAGGAAGAATGAGGTATTCTATTTCTCCCAAAATAGAACATTTGCGAGTCTACTTGAACCTGTTGCTCAGTTTGATTAATTTTAGCAGGCCGGCTCTCAAAATATGAAAACATTAGAAACAGCAACCCATCATATATTTTTAAAGCAATGTGTGAAGAATTAATTAACTTAATAAATGATAAAGTTCTACTGGCTATGTTCAATGAAAGCAGTAGAGCGGGGTATTTCCACTTTGCAAATCCCACTCCTGAACTTTCTCACGGTCTATCCTGATACCGTGCCCAAAGTCTCCCCATCTTCACGTCTACGAAATAGTCTGCTTATATTTCTCCTAACATTGATTGGTTTCTTCTTCAGGAAGTCCAAGGTATGTACAATATTCGTCGACCACACCACAATTCATATCCATCAATTATTCTATCTTCCTTTTATAACTAAGTTGGGGGTCTGCTTCACAATTCTGAAAAGAAAAATTAAGTTGATTATTTACTAATCCCTTCTCACAATGTTATTAGAAAACCCTGACAGGAAATCAGAATTCAATCGTCAAGTCAGTCAAAGTGGAAACTCTGAATTGCAGCGTGGCTTAAGTGCTTTACACGTGTGGAAGATCAGCTGATTTAGTTAAGGCCTTGGTTCCTCGCCCATCACAGCAGTAACGATGGTGTTGCACAGCATGAAGATCATGTTTTCATTCCACACTGATAAATCATTCTCAAGATTAGAACAACAACACATGGCTCCTTCCGATGGAAAGGACTGCGGCATGCCTTAGCACATAGACAATAAGATTGGAAAAACTCAGTTACACATACATGGAAAACAGTGAGCTTATCTCCCAGTACCTCTTTGACAGGCCCAGAATAAACAGGAAAGAGCATGCAAATGCCGCCTCCCTTTCATCTGGAAGATGAGTGTATTGAAACGCATACTTCATGAAACATTTGTGTGCCACCTGTTGTTGACTGTCTTGATGCTAGTTTGCGATGCGCACGCGCATGGGCTGCTCCTACCCATGTAAACATTTAGCATTAGTAGATACAGCCAGGAAATTGATTGCGATTCCAAAATAGCTTCCCTTCTTTTAGTTCTCCTGGCACAAAAGCTCTTGTAGAACTAAAAAAGTATTTCTAAAAAAA